GAAAATCAGAATTCACAGGGCTTTTCAATCCGCTTGAACTTGTCCACCGGAAGGGGATGTGGGAGATTTTTCCTCTCTGAGCTTTGGGGAGATGGGGTGAAAGAGGGGACAGCAGTCTCAAAACAGTCCCCTCAAGTTACCCAGTCTGTTGGGACACATGAAGAAATCTATTTTCTTATAGCAAGGATTGTCAACCATAATTGCTGTTGAGAAGTTTGTCAAGAGGAGAGTGAGTGGGCATGTAGGAAGGAGAAAGAGCCGTTTCTTCAGGTGGAGGAGGAAGGCAGGGTCGGAGGGAGAGGAGAGGGGTCATGAGGCTGCACTGAAGGGTGATCTTGGAAGAGAAAACCGCAACTGAGGAAAAAGGATGAGATTGAAGGTCTGCATGGAGCAAGGGTGGGTAGCCTGGTAAGGAAATCAGGGCTTTAGCCAGGAGGGAGAGATGGATCAGGGAAGAGAAGTTGGATGAAGAAGCATGCTCTAACTACTGGTTGTTCTGGAACAATTCCTGCAAAATGTAGCATCTTAAAACAATGCTAAATATCTATTATCTCACAGTTTGTGTGGGTCGTTCAGGAGTGACTGAGCTGGGTGCTTCTGGCTTGGGGTTGCTCATGAGATTGCAATTGCGATACCAGCAGGGACTGCATCATCTGAAGGCCTGACTGGGGCTGGAGAACTTACTTCCAAGATGGCTCACTCACATGATTGATGAGCTGGTGGTGGCTATTGATAGGAGGCTTCTGTTCTGAACACATGAAGCCTCTCCAAAGGGCTGCTTGAGTGTCTTCCTGGCATGGCAGCTGGTTTCCCCAGAGACAGTGATTCAAGAGCCAGCAAGACAGAGCTGCAGTCATTTTTGTGACCTAGCTTTAGAAGTGATTCATCTTATTTCCACAATGTCTTGGTGGTTACACAGCCTTACATGGAGCTCAGAGGGATTATATAAGAGCATGAATACTAGGAGGTGAGGCTCACTGGAGGCCATGTTGGAGGCTGGCTACAACCAGGAGGAAATGCTTTCTGAATCATGACTGTGTTGTCATGGAGTATGGTGGGCAGGTTAATCGCTTTGCAAAACACCAGGCATATGGAGCAAGTGGGGATTACAATCCAGGCTGAACTCAGGTAGGCTGGCCATGCCCCAGCCTGAGCAAATAGGTACACCTGTTTGTGATGTACCTCTAGAAGAGGAACATGCCCTGTTTGTACAAAGGTATAGCTTGTGCCTCAGGACACTTTTTAATGTAAATAATAGAAAATCCAACCAAAGAGGAAAAAAAGAAGAATGTATTGCATTATTTCTTTTAATTTATTTTTGGCTTGGCTGGGTCTTCGTTGCTGTGCAGGCTTTTCTCTAGTTGCAGTGACAGGGGCTTAATCTTTGTTGCAGTGCTCAGGCTTCTCATTGCAGTGGCTTCTTTTGTTGTGTAGCACAGGTTCTAGGCCACGTGGATTTGATAGTTGTGGTTCTTGGGCTCTAGAGCACAGCTTAAATAGTTGTGGTGCACTGGCTTAGTTGCTCCGTGGCACATGGGATCTTCCCGGACCAGTGATCAAGCCTGTGTGTTCCAGATTCTTTATCAGTGAGCCACAGGGAAGCCCTGTATTATTTCTATAAGTGAAGGATGCAGGGATATGATGTTTCAGGCATGGCTGGATCCAGGATCTCAAACAATGTCCTGACCTCTCTGTATTTTAGCTCTGCTTTCTTTTGATTTGATGTAACCTCATCAACTTTATTCTTTAAAGCCTTTTCATTATCATGGCAGACAGCATCTCCAGTCCTACTGGCTCTCAGATTCAGCTGAGGTATGGCGATTCTTCTAGCATCTGAAATAAAATTTCTGACCCTGACGCTCTTTGACCCCTCCCTTGAACATTCTCTGGGGGCAAAGAGATGGGATATGGTGATTGGCTTAATCTGATTTAGGGCCACCCCAAGAAACTAAGGGGGCTGGCTCAGCTCCATCCAGTAATCTCAAAGAAACCTTCCCAAGGAGAGGTCCTGGATGCTGTGTCAGAAAAAGGAGGGATAATGCTGGGAAGGTCCTCCATAGCTCCAAGGCAGTATTTGACTGGATTTGAAGGGAGAGAGTTCCTCCTGGAGCCCTGGAGTGATGCTAGTGATCAGAGGATGGGCCAGATCAGTGCTGAGTTTCAGGGGCAAAGGAGGAAACATGTGACTATTCACTTAGATGAGGCCCGAGGCCCCAGTTTCTTCCAGGCTTGGTTGGTGGAAGCCTGGATGACCTAACCTACAGACCTTTTTGAACTAAAAAGCAGAATTTTGTTTTCAGATTACTTTTCTCAGCAGTAATATATAAACTAAAAGAGAGAATCTATTCACTTATCTGTTTTCCCATTAAACACGTTTGAAGTACTTCCTCCTTGCCATGATGCCTTGTGTTGAAACAATGTTTAAAAAAAAAAAATTGGGGAAATACAGATGCAGATCCAGTACAGGCCACGTTTAGAATTTGACTGTCAGTGCGTGCATGTACGCGCTAAGACACTTCAGTTGCATCCAAGTCTTTGCGACCCTATGGACCATAGCCCACCAGCCTCCTCTGTCTGTGGGATTCTCTAGGCAAGAATACTGGAGTGGGTTGCCATGCCGTCCTGCAGGGGATCTTCCCAATCCAGGGACTGAGCCCTCATCTCTTATGTCTCCTTCATTGGCAGGTGGGTTCTTTACCACCTGGGAAGCCCTTAACTGTCAGTGTTCACTACTTATTCGTATCTATTCCCAGGCATGAGCTACACTAACCTGACTCTCCTTTTGGAGATTGAGACCTCCCCATGTATGCCCAGCTGGGCAGTTGCAACTCTGTGGATGAAAGTTTCCTGCTTTGGAGACTTCCCTGGTGGTCTAGTGGTTAAGAATCCACCTTACAATGCAGGGGATCTTGGTTCAATCCTTGGTCAGGGAACTGAGATTCCATGTGGTGGTGGTTTAGTCGCTAAATTGTGTCCACCTCTAGCAACCCCATGGTCTGCAGCCTACCGGGCTTCTCTGTCCATGGGATTTCCCAGGCAAAAATATTGGAGTGGGTAGACATTTCTTTCTCTAGGGGATCTTCCCAACCCAGGGATCAAACCCAAGTCTCCTGCATTACAGGTGGATTCTTTACCTCTGAGCCACCAGGGAAGCCCTCACGGGGCAGCTAAGCCCATGTGCTGCAATGAGGAACCTGTGCAGCCAGATAATAATAATAATAATAAATTTTTTAAAAAGAAAGTTTCCTTCTTTGCCCACTCTCCTGCTTGAGTCGTAGGAAACTTCAGTAATTGGCATATTCTTCTCTAGTTGGGAACCTTATCAATTCTACCACCTCACCATCTCTCAGCCTTAAAAATCTTAGTCCCTTCCCTTGCACAGCAATTCCTGGTTTACTACATATCCGTCTGTCCTGAGGCAGAGAAGACAGGGAAACACAAGGAGATCTGCAGTTCCGGTTTGAGCTGGGGAAACAAGATTCCTGCTAGCCAGATGCCGCTATCAGATCCAGCCTCCTACTAGCACATTCTATGGCTCCCTCCTTTAAGGGTCCTTGTCTATATGTTCGTAACTCTACAAAGAATGATTTAAGATTCTGCTAAATTCTGCATTTTAAAATCTGACTCTGCGAAAATTTGCTGGAGAAGTGGCTTCTATTTTTAAAGGGGCTGATTCCTTCTTTTTTTCTGATTATTTTCAAGTGAAATTTGAACTTAACCGAGCAGTTTTGAAAGCCCAGCTGCACTGTGAATCCTTCCTATGCTGTGCAGAGCTAGGTCAGTGTTTCCTAAGTGAGGGGCACTTCTATTGGTGGACTGCTGATTTAACAGGTAATTGTAGGGGGCACAGGAGTGAGCATTTAAAATGATGTTGTTGAAATTTTATGAATATTCAAGCTTAGAATTTCATGAAATTTTTTCTAACACAAGGTAAAGGTAGAAAGTTCTCTTATTAGTTCAGAATTGATTTGAAGACAAATGTTAGTAAACAATTAACCTGTATGTGTGCAGACTTGGCAGAAGTCATGAAGGTGACTCTATTAATTCCCATGGCTGCTATAACAAATTACCACAAACTCGGTGGCTTACAAGAACATACCTTTATTCTCTCACTGTTGTGGAGGCTAGAAGTCCGGAATCAGTCTCACTGGCCCAGCTCTGGAGCCTCAAGGGCTGTAGGGGAGGTTTTGTTCCTGGCCTCTCTGGTGGCTGTGGATACTCCCTGGCTTGTGGCCACATCACTGCAGTCTCTTGCCTCTCTGGTCACATCACTTCTTTGTCTTCTGCATGTAGTATATTTCCCTTTGCCTCTCCTTTATGAGGATGCGTGTGATGGCCTTGAGGGCCCACCTGGCTAATCCAGGATACTCTCCCCATCTCCAGATCTTGAGTTTAGGATCAACAATAAGGTCCTGCTGTATAGCACAGGGAACTATATTCAACATCCTGCAATAAAACATAACGTTTTATTATGGTGATCCGATAGTTAAAAATCTGTCTTGCAATGCAGGGTATGAGAGTTCAATCCCTAGTCGGGGAACTAAGATCCCACAAGCCTAGGTGCAGCTGAGCCCAAACCCCTCAACTAGAGAGCCTGCGTGCTCTGTAGCCCATGCAACGCAAGGAAGATCTCACGTGCCTTAACTAAGACCCAGTGCAGCCAAAAAAAAGAAAAAATAACACAATGGAAAAGAATATGAAAAAGAGGTATGTATAATCAAATCACTTTTCTGTACACAAGAAACTAAGACATTATAAATCAACTATACCGCAATTGAAAATAAATCTTGAGTTTAATCACATCTACAGAGTTTTCTTTTGGGAATTCCCTGGTGGTCTAGTGGTTAGGGCTGCCGGAGGCTTGATCACTGGTCAGGGAACTAAGAACCCACAAGTCATGTGGCAAGACCAAAAAAAGTCTTCTTCTTTTTTTCCACCCCCTCCCCCAAACAAGGCAACATATTCATAAGCATCAGGGATCAGGGTGTGGTTATCTTTAGGAAGAAGGGGACTGTTATTCAGACTATCACAGTGGCATAGGAAATTTGAGACAGAGCCAGTCAAGAAATGAAACTTCCTACCTGCAGGCTTTTTATACACCCACACGAGGGACTCCCCCTGCTGCCGTCTGCTGCCGTCTCCCTCTCACTAAGGATACAGTGGAGGGGGACATGCGGGGGAAGGACTGTCGTCTCCAGGCTCCCATTGCGTTTGGAGAAGAAACGGCTGGGAGCCACCCTGGACCCATCGCATCCCCCACAACCTGAGATCCTTGGACAGATTCCTTGGTGCCTAGGTCAGTGACAGCCACCTTGAAAAATACTAATTTTAAATTTCCCAGGTTCCAATGAACATTGTTCTACTCCATACAGATCTCTACCACCGGGCCCCCTCTCAGATTTGCACTGTATTTATTTAAATTGCTTTTGAAATGTTAATCACCGAATGTTAATAAACACAGTAATTATTCTTGATTTTCCTTATGGGTTCCATTTAGGAACAGGAACTGATATTATTCATGATTTCACAAGGAAGCATGAGTTCCAAAGTAGGCTAATGTGCTTTCCTTACGAAATTAATGAAGACATTTTCTTATTGCATAATCAGTACATTAGACCCAGGATGATGGCGTTTCAGGGAAGAAAGGTGCTGGAACAACTTCTCGTGGGATCTGATTAGTGCGTTCTCTTGGGAGACTTTCTGGAGGGAGGGTTTGTCAACTGAACTCCTGTAACTCCGCGAGGGAGTGAAAGTGTGCAGGCGGGGCGAGTGGGCGAGACAGACTCTGTCTCCATCAGCTTTGATCCCATCCGGCCTGCTCCCCACCCCCATGCCCACCACACCCCCAGCACATCTGCAGGGGCCTGTAATTGCTCTGATTCCAGTGGCACCAGCAAGTGATGTCTCCTTTGGCCAAGCAGACAAGAGCAGACCAGAGGAGCCAGGGAGCTCTGGGGGAGAGGCCTGCCTGATGGTCTGCAGCTGGCCTGAAGGAAGCCAGACCAGTGTTAGCTCTTGCTCCAGAGCAAAGGCTGAGAACCTTGGCAGGCAAGCTTGTTCAAAATGCCTGCAAAGATGAGGCTTGATGACCTTTCTTTTTTCTTTTTTTCTGGCCTAGCCCCAAGGCTTACAGGATCTCAGGTCTCCAACCAGGGACTGAACCTGTGTCATAGCAGTGAAAGCATGGAATCCTGGCCACTGGGCTACCAGGGAACTCCCCTGAAGAACTTTCTTTGACCTTGATCTTCTTGGGGCTCACCAGGTGAGAGATGCTGGCTCTGGACAACCCCCCCCCCCCCCATTTCCCGCTCTCCTTCTGGCGCCCACTGATCCTGATTTAAATCCCAGTCTTTTCTCTATAATGCATGCATGCTAAATTGCTTCAGTCGTGTCTGACTCTTTTGAGACCCCATAGACTGTAGCCCACCAGGCTCCTCTGTTCATGGGATTCTCCAGGCAAGAATACTGGAGTGGGTTGCCATGTCCTCTTCCAGGGGATCTTCCTGACTCAGGGATTGAACACCCATCTCCTGCATTGGCAAGCAGGTTCTTTACCACTAGCACCACCTGGGAAACTCCTTTCTCTACACCCCGGTGCTTTTAAGTGAAAGATGTGCTGTTTAGGAAGATAGGAGGGCTTGGTTCCTGCACTGAGGACTTTGGTCAAACGCAGGAGACCTCCTCAGGGAAAGGGGATTAAGTGGTGCAGAAGCTGGTGTGTGAGCTTACAGGGAGACAAAGTTCTGATCAGAGCTGGTCAGAGACACGTGGGGAGGGATATCATGCTGGATTTATTCCAGGACCTTTCACTAGTGACCAGTAGTTAGAAACAATAAAGATTGGTCTCAAAAGATAAAATAAAAAAGAAGCTTGAACATTATATACATTTACATATGATAAGTGGGATTGATCTCACTATATATTATGCAAGAAGCATATAGAACTTCTTATTAAACTATAGTTGATTTGCAGTGTTGTGTTAATTTCTGTTGCACAGCAAAGTGACTCAGTTATACATATGTACACATCCTTTTTCATATTCTTCTCCATTATGGTTTGTCACAGGACTTTGACTATAGTTCCTTGTGCTATACAGTAGGACCCTGTTTTATTCATTCTATATATAATAGTTTGCATCTGCTAATCCTAAACTCCTAATCCAGCCCCCCTCTGCTTGGCAATCTGTTTTCTATGTCTGTGAGTCTGTGTCTGTTTCAAACATAGGTTCATTTGTGGCGTATTTTAGATTTCACATATAAGTGATATCATACAGTATTTAAATGTCTCTTTCTGTCTTACTTTTTTAGTATGATAATCTCTAGGCCTATCTATGTTGCTGAAAATGGCGTGATTTCATTCTTTTTTATGGCTGAGTAGTATTCCATTGTATATATATATCTTCTTTATCCATTCATCTATCGACAATCATTTAGGTTGCTTCCATGTCTTGGCTATTGCGCATAGTGTGGCTGTGAACATAGGGATGTATGTATCATTTTGAGTTATAATTTTGCCTAGATATATGCCCAGGAGTGGCATTGCTGCATCATATGGTAGTTCTATTTTTAGTTTTTAAGGAACCTCCATATGTTCTCCACAGTGGCTGTACCAACTTACATACCCACCAACAGTGTAGGAGGGTTCCCTTCTCACCATGCCTTTGCCAGCATTTTTAATTTGTAGACTTTTTAATGATGGCCATTTTGAATGGTGTGAAATAGTACCTCACTGTAGTTTTAATGTACATTTCTCTGATAATTAGCGATGTTGAGCATCTTTTCATGTGCCTTTTGGCTGTTTGTATGCTTTCTTTGGGGCTTTCCCACTGGTTCAGTGAGTAAAGAATCCGCCTGCAATGCAGGAGACACGGGTTTGATCCCTGGGTTGGAAAGATCCCCTGGAGGCAGAAATAGCAACCTACTCTAGTATTCTTGCCTGAAAAATCCCATCTACAGAGGAGCCTGGCGGGCTTCAGTCCAAAGGGTCACAAAGAGGAGTCAGACATGACTGAGCTGACTAAGCTCAATGTTTTCTTTGTAGAAATGTCTATGTAGGTCTTCTGCCCATTATTCGATTGGGTGGTTTGTTTTTTTGTTATTGAATTTTAGGAGCTGCTTGTATATTTTGGAAATTAAGCCCTTGTCGGTTGCATTATTTGCAAGTATTTTCTCCTGATCTGTAGGTTGTCTTTTCATTTTGTTTATGGTTTCTTCTGCTGTACAAAAGCTTGTATGTTTGATTAGGTCTCATTTGTTTATTTCTGCTTTTATTTCTATTGCCTTGGGAGACTGACCTAAGAAAACCTAGGTACGATTTATGTCAGGGAATGTTTTGTCTATGTTCTCGTCTAGGAGTTTTACGGTGTCATGTCTTGTTTTGAAATCTTTAAGCCATTAAGAGTATATTTTTTAATATGGTGTGAGGGTGTAGCCTAACTTCATTGATCTACATACAGTTGTCCAACTTACTCAGCACCACTGGAAGCATATAGAATTTGCCTCAATTTTTTTGCTAAATGTTCCCTAAACTATCATGTTTATAACAAGCAATAGTTAAATAAAATAAATTGATTTTCTGTCTTAGAATATTAAAAAAAAAAGTCCCAAGTCCAGTGGAGTGATGGACTCAGGGGCTTTATAGGTCCCTCTGGTCCTTGGAGTCTGATTGCTTCCTGAACCACTCACACCTCTCTCCTGGGCAAAGGCGTGGGATGGACAGAAGCTGGGCTCTGGTGTTAGACAGCACTGGGTTTGAATCAAAGCCCACCACTCACAGCTGTGTGGTCTTGGGTTTGTCACTTCTCTGGTCACTTGTCCTGTCTATAAAAATGGAGATGGCATGTCCCTCATGAGGTTGTTGGTAATTACGAGACAGAAGGACCTTAGGCCAAGTCCCTGAGTCCAGCTCTTCTTGACCAGCAGCCTGTGCCCTTGATAGTGGTTCATGAAGAAGCTATTCAGTCCCTCTAGTTTGTTCACTGAAGCTTGTGTCCAGTCCCAGCTTGGGCTTTGCTGTCTCTTCCGTAACTGGCCTCACCTTACCCCTGCACAGTGTTGCAGGTGGACACTGCCCAGGCACATCTGGGCACTTAGGGCTTGAGAAGCTGGAATCCAACCTGAAGAGCCAGAAAAATTCTAACACAGGGAGGGCTCAAGAGAGGTCCCAAGAGAAGACTGAACAGATCCAGCCACGTGGACCCCAGAACCTTGGACCACTTTGCTTGTCACACCAGATGTGCCTCCTTTGGGGACCTCCTGCCAGTGTTTTCCTGTTTGGGTTCCATCAAAGGGTTTCCTCCCTGGGAGTGGAGACAGGGCGGGTGTGATCTGAAGGAGGTAGTGGGGAGCTCCCCCTAGTGGCCATCATTAAACTTGTCAACCCGGGGCCTTTGAGGGGGCCCGCCCCAAGCCCCACTCCATCCCACCTTCGGAAAGGACAAGAGCTTTGTCCTTTCTGAGCCTGCTTTCCAAACCTGGCTACTGCCTCTTTACACAAGGCCAGAGACTATAAACTAGAGATCCATGGTTCTAATTTACTTGGCCAGTGCAATATTGTTGAAAAATTTTATTACATACCAATACCAAAACATCATATTTGACATAAAAATCCAGCTACGTAATTTCTCTTGAAAAATCAGAAGCTCTGGCAACACTGAACTTGGGCTTCTGCCTGGCAACAATGGTGAGGACAGTTTACAAAAGAAGCAAAAATCCCTGCCCTCATGGAGTTTATTGCCTGGTGGGGGAGGGGAGAGAGGAACAGTTCAGTTCAGTTCAGTCCTGTCCAACTCTTTGTGACCCCATGGACTGCAGCATGCCAGGCTTCCCTGTCCATCACCAGCTCCCAGAGCTTGCTCAGACTCATGTCCATCAAGTCAATGATGCCATCCAACCATCTCATCCTCTGTCATCCCCTTCTCTTCCTGCCTTCAATCTTTCCCAGCATCAGGGTCTTTTCCAGTGAGTCAGTTCTACGCATCAGGTGGCCAAAACAGCTCTTAATGAAGCCAAAAATTGATGCTTTCAAATAGTGGTTCTACAGAAGACTCTTGAGAGTCCCTTGGACCGCAAGGATAGTGGAGGAAGGGGTGAGGCCAGATCTACCCAACTGAGAACATCCTGAATTCCTGACTCATAGAAATGACTATCTTTATTTTAAGCCACTGAATATTGGAGTGATTTGTTATACAGCAAGAGATCACTAGAATAGATTCTGACTTCAAGGAACTTAAAAATGAGTTGGAAAGCCAAGAAGTGAGTGAACCTAGCCAAGTTTATTAGATAGTGCCAGCTGTCTCAGGGTGACCAAGGCCCAAACTGTAAAGCACTATCTATGTAAATATAGTAAATATGCCCACCCACTGGGGCTTACCAGGTGGCACAGTGGTAAAGAATCTGCCTGCCAATGCAGGAGATGCAAGAGGCAAGGGTTCGATCCCTGGATTGGAAAGATCCCCTGGAGGAGGAAATGGCAATCCACTCCAGTATTCTTGCCTGGAATATCCTATGGACAGAGGTGCTGCAGAGTTGGACCCAACTAAACACACACCCACACCCACACATCCCACCTTTTCTCTCCCTCCTTCCTATACCCAGTCCCTTCCTTTGCTCCTATCTTGATTGACCTTCCAGATCCTTGATTTCTATCATAAGTTTGCAGTTCCCTGAAGGGCTGACACTTTCTCAAACTCTCAGCTGCTAGCGCCCTCAATTAACTAGCTACCTGGTCTCCCTGACTTGACTTTGAATATACTGCCAAGAGTAGAATCAAGGATGTTTAGACCACAAATCCCTGGTTCTGGCTTCTAGTTCTTGGCAACAGTCATCACATAAATTTTCCAGCAAGAGACACATCCGCATAATTAGACCAACGATATCGCAGACTCAGACACATGCAAAGAGGGCAGGGCTAGAGAAGGGTACTATTCATCAAAACCTCATCATAAATTCAAGTTGAAGGATTGAAAAGAAACAAAACATGGACACTTCCCAAACCCAGCAGCTGGACCTCTCACTGAAATTCTGAAATCACTACCGCTCAAATCAACATCTGGGAGAGAATAAAAAATAATAAAGATTTAAAAAGAACAGACGCTGGGCAATTACCAATTGAAGTGTGGATCAGGAATATAAATTCTCCAAGAGCCTAACGACAGAAATATACATTGGCACATGGGTCTTCAGACTGTGAATTTCATCTAGCTGTCACCACCATATTTCTTTATTATGGCTAATATTTAGTTAGCAAATGCTCTTTTCTAAG